TAATTACTTTTTTATAAAATTATTTAAATATAATATCATTGTTTTATCATAAAAATTAAATTTTTCTAAAAGATGAATTTAAACTGATAATATGTATTGAGCAGATAAAACATGTGTAGTAATTAAAAAAACCACATCAAAGTAAATGAACAGTTGCTGTAAAAATTTTGTTTGATACGACTATGATATGATGTTTATTTTTATCTCGTTCAAAAAATTGCTTTTTCATAATGCCAAATAGATTTTCTGAAATAAGCTATTCTGTTGAAAATTTTTTACAGCTAAATAAGTACGTTCCGAGCGCTTAGAGCATTATTAAATAATTGACTGAATTAATCAGATTTTTTTTTCACTTTAAGAAAAAAGAACTGTTGCAAAAATTGTCTCCACTTTTACACTCAAAGAGAAAGAGTATAATTGTGCAAAAATCAATTTCCAAGAAGTTGCAAGTGGCAATGTCTGACGTTGAAAAGTTGCCGAGTTTTCTTCCTTTATTCGCTTTTTCTTTCTCATCCACCACGACTTTTTGCACTACCTGACCAAAAAAATAAGCAATACACGTTTTCCTTGCGGCGGCCACACTTTACGAGGGCAATTCGACAACACTCTGAACTGACTGAAGCCTTTCAGTGAGGCCCTCGAGAGAGCGTCTGTCACATCTGCACCCTTTTTGATGCGTGCGAGCGCGTTGAGCCGAGCTCGGCCGGCTGCAATCCATCAGATGATTGGCTTCCAGCAAAATATATAAATCCTTTTTATGCGTGTGACGTCTGGGCTCTAAGCAAGATGAACATCTTTAGACGTTCGGACGGACACGGACTTGCGAGTCTGAGAGCGAATTAGGGGTGTAGGGCGGCCGCGATATTTGAATAATCTGTCGCGAAACAAGTAAGCTCAAGACGCGAGTTGACACTCATGCTATCACGCTATCGTCAGGAACGGACTGCCACTGCAAAACTTTCATAAAATAAAAAATTGAATAAATAGTAAAACTTTCGCTTTGAATGAAAAATTTAGAGATATACGAAATTTTCTTCAATTTTTTTTATTTTTAAAGTCACTTTTCTTTCAAGCATTTAAAGAATTTATTGAAATCGTGACGCATTCTGAATTTAATTTTCGTTATTCAGTGACAAGCTTAAGATAACAAAGTGTTTGTCATATGGCGTTGAGACTCAATTTAGCAAACATGAATTCTTCCGCCTCAAATATAATTGAAAACCTAAAAAAAAATCGCGATGATCGCGTGGTAATGTTAATAGTTTAGAGAATTTGGATCTAAAAAAAGATGGGGAAAAGAATCACTCATTCATGAAAATAATATGAAATTGATATTTTTGTTTTACAAAAGTTTAAATTTTGTCAGAATTTCCAGTATTTTGAAGAATTAGTTTTGGGTATAAGTTTTTTACCCCTTATTGAATCTTCCTCTATTGTTATTGTGCTAGAATTTAATTCCTAAAGTTTTTGTTCATACCGGCTGTGAAACTAAGTTCGCTTTTATATTGCAAAACCCTTGCTTTCCCATTTTGCAAAATAAATTCTCCCTTTCCGGCCATGCGCGCGCGGGTGCATTTTATTAAATTAAGAGAATGTGTTGTGTCCGACACGAGGCGCAGAGAAAAGGGATTAACGTTGCTTTTCTGATACGAAAAGAGACCGAAATGTATGCAAAGCAGTCGTACAAAAATTGTTCATATACAGTAGAAATTTTAAGCTGGCAGTCAGTGGTTTTCCGTGGCAGCATACGTTAAATACATATAAAGAAAATCCCTGCCAATTTCTTTGGGGCTAACACTCGGCAATTGCACGCCAGAAAAGCTGCTGCACACATAGCTGGTCTAGTTTCTGCGCGCTGGTCTTTTAAGTAGGCGCTCGTCGGGGTCTAATCCTTACTTTTGCGAGTTTTGAAACGACCCCCAGGCACGATACATGGTTTGTAGCACTTTTTGAGGTCCACACATACGCTTGGAAACAGAATACAGCTGACGTCAAAAGTGGTGCTCTGCTCTATATATAAATACACACAAACTTGGTTAACCCTTTTATTTTATTCCTCGCATTAAAAAGCGGCAGGAAAAATAAGGAAACTTCTGGTTCTTGGGGCGTGCGTGCCTGGCTGATGTTTGTATTTCCTCCAAAATTAAATCTTCCACATTCATCACCTAACGTCTCAATTAATTAAAACACTCAATTTTTCAACAAAGCCTCTCTCATTTTCCGCTTAGGTTCGGAGTATGTGAAAAAAATTTGATTTCATTTTGTAAAAATCTTCTATTTTTGATCAAGTGAATCAAAAAAATTACTATCATGAAACTTGCTATTCGTGAAGTCTAATTGTAAGATTTTTAATTCCTCCTAAAACTCTTTGCGTTTTTCAGGTACGAGTTTTTAATTGAAAGAGCTTGCGCAAAACAGAAACTAAATATTAGTTTAATCAACTACTTAATCAAGATCCAGATAAATCCTTGCAGCAATCCAATCCAAACCTGACCTGCAATGTATCTCAGTTTGTTGTATTCGTAATTTAAATAGTTTTTAATATTCATTGCAATTATTCCGTTATTTTTTGGAAAAGACGTGGGAATAAAGCAATTTTGTGTGAAGATTCATGCTAGCTTTTCAGCCCCTAAATTTTATACAATATATTCCGTAGTTATGTAGTTTTTTTCCGTTCGTCCACCGCGGGTAATAATTCACTCTGGAATTGCATCGTTTTATCCGGGGAAAGAGAGATGTGTTGTGTGTGCGCGCGAGAGATATTCGGGAGTTTTATATTTTATTAGTGTATTGCTGTAAAAATAGATATACGGCGGTACATATTATATGAGATCAAGTAGGAACACGTAAAACAAATATAAATTTTAGACATCAGCCCGCAGAAATATTATTTTACAACGTTTTACGCGGGATGCATGGCTGGCGACGATATTTCGCTAACTCGGCCTAGCCCGCGCCTCTCTCCCCAGTGTGTATGTATTTTATAAATGTGTATATATGCGATTGTGTTTGCAATCAAACTGAGCAGTCTAGTGCAGCAATAATCATAATTTTAAGTACATTTTTATATACGCCAGGTATAATAAAATCGCTTTCATTGTGATAATTCCCATCGCAGCGGCCGCGCGCCTGAGGAGGTCGTATAATATTATTTATGTTCGCTTTTGTTTCACGGAACAGAACATTAAAGTTTTGAATTTGAAATTTATTACGGAAGGCGCAGATAGCTAGCAACACAATTTGCGAATTCTCACACAAATGTGTGTCATTCTTGTACCTAGAGCTGAAAAGTAGGATTTTTTTCAAGCATGCGATATATTCCTTTACTTAAGTTCTGTTTTTCACAATTTACATAATTACTCTGATTTTTATTAAATTATAACTTGTTAGCATTCAGTTTAAATTGTTCATTTTAATTAATTTCCACGTTCAAGAAAAACTGCTTAATTCATAATCATACCAACACCCACATCTGAGCCACATCATTGTTAGTGGTTTATGCAAGCAAATATAAGTATGATTTAGATGGTATTTGAATTTTTATATAGTTCGTAAAAAATAATTTTATTAATTTATTTTCTATTCAGTGTAAAAAAGTTAGTATTACACTAATTACTGTACTCGTCACCAAAACAATTGTTGGATTACCAATATTATATTATGCTTATCCTTGTGTTTTTTCCAAAACTCGTATACATATATTTCTACTTGTGTGAGGTTGTTGCAGTTGCATATTTTATTTTTCACTTTTTTTATTACAAATATAATATTTCTCAGGGGATTGTGATCCACTTTAAAATGATATTATAGCATGAGCACAAAATCAACAACTCTGGGTAATTACGGCAGCTGAAGTGCCCAAACCACAATTGCCTGACGAGCAATTATAAATTTTTGGGGTTTTTGTCGGTGGTATTTGTGTGTCTGCTCAGCCAGCACCACTTTTTACATTGATAAAGGATATAATAAGTGTGTGTGAGCGCCCACCGGCCGGCGTGTAAACGTGAATATATATTTTATTTCCTCACCGCCGACGTCGTGTATACTTTATGTGGGGCGTGCAATTAAATAATGGCTTTTTACTTTGTAATGTATTATTGTCGCGTTCTAACTTTCACGGCGGTAATGAGGTTTAATTTAACCGTGCGCGATAAGAGCATAAAGTGACCTCAAATTTATGGCTCTAATAGTGGGTATATAATATACACCCGAAAATTCCCCTCTGCCGCTTATTGGCCACGTGTGTTTTTCATCCAGGTATTTGTCCAACTCTTTAAAAAATTTAAATGCCTTCAGTTACAGTAAATTCCATATATGAATGAATTAATATGAATAATTATTTATGTTGAATGGTGCTATGCAATAATTATATACTTTGAAGAACGAAACGATTTTTCTTCTATCATGTTAATTAAACTTAAAAAAAAAAATTGTTTATAATTACTCTAGTAGTAAAAATTAAGAATTGCTTAGATTTTCAAACATTGAATCTAAAATTCAAAATTAATTTATATCAAAAAATAAAAATTTGTTAACAGAATAAATTCCCAAATTGATCAAAGTTACAGATGACGTCCTTAAAGCTTATTATGTTGCCTTCCAATGCTTAATTGTTTTATTTTGTGGAAGTTTTAGAAAAAAAATATAATTTTAAATATAACTTTCACGATCTCTTCCGGATCGGATTCAGCCAAATTATTATAATTCCTGTACTAATTAACAAAACAAATTATTCTTCTTTTCATTTTTCCTGATGTTAAATTTTCTCTTTTGATCTTTATTTATTCCATTTTTATTTATAAATTTATATAGCGACCCAGAAATATTGTAAATAATGTTGCCGGCTGAAATCATTTCAGAAGTTGTCCAATTTTTTGTGTGGACGATAAGATAAGATAACGCCATATTACACGCTTTTTTGTATATTTTTGCTGATAACACATCAGCATTCTTGTTTTAGTTGCTTTTGTAATCTACAACCCAGTCAATGTTTTGTTTAGTGCCGTAAAAGATGTCCAATATTTGGAAGCCGAATCCAGAGCTGGTAGCCCTTGTGTTCGGGACTCATTTCATTGCTGTCAAAAGTAAGTGAACGACCGTTTTATATTTTTTGTTGTTTCTAATTTGGGGGGCTGCGTTTAAAAACCCATTACTTTTATTGTTCGTCGCCGGCGGTAGACCAATCTACAGCCTTTTACAACCGGGCCGTTTCATGCCACCGGCGCCATGTGACACAACAATCAGCAATACATCACAAATTAGACTTTTTTTCTTGATACTAAAAGTTGAGTTTTATTACTTATTGTTAGATCTCTTACGATTTGTGATAAATAAAAATAAAAAAAACTTAGCATTCATCTCTGGTCACATAATTCATGAAAATTTAAACTTTTGTGAATCAGAAGTTTTAAAATACTTTTGAAATGCATCGGAGAGTGAAGTAAAAATTTATGATTAAAGTCAGTTTTATTGTTAATAACTATGAAAAGCTGAATATAAATTTTTTATTTGGATTGACTAAATAATCATTTTGGAAATGAACTAAAATTACATCCGGAAAGAAATGATCTGCAAATTTATTGAAAACACATAGATAAGCTTAATTTTAGAAACACAAATTTTAATTTAACTTACTTCATCTATGTAGAACGTGTTCTATATTTTTTAATGAATTTTATGATTTTTTTAAAGTTTAGGGTGTAAGAAATATTTTCTTTTTAATATTAAAATATTTACGTTTCACACAATGTGGCATATTTAGAAAAAAATGAAATTTTTTCAATTTTTTCGTTTCAATGTTATAGTGAACAGTATAAAAAAGAAGAAGAAGAAAACCATAATATTTTATGTAACAATTTTTTTTAAACATTTCAGTGTTGGATAATATAAATTTTATTGCAGAGAGTTACAACTAGAATTACAAAAGCTAGAGATAGGCATTTGTTTCTAGATTTACATATTATCAAACGACTTTCTCGCAGCATGTCGTAAAATTAATTCGTTCGACAACACAACGCACACAATTATATAAAACGACATTACAAGATATGAGTTATAATCGCGCGCGAATTCCACTGTCGGGTGCGAATCGGCGGCGTGTAGAATGAGAGAGATTCGCGCGGCGAGATATATGGTTTTACAGCAAAAGTGCTGTCACTCGCAATTAACTATTCCCGCCAGTAAAAGTCAGAGCTTGTTGTCCGACGTAATAATTCTGCTTGATTAACTGGCGCGCTCGCAATGTGCACGCGGATAAGGGTTGAAATTTAACAAATTTTATTAAACACGCCGTCTGGCTGCTTTTATTTTACGACTCTTACTCACATTCGTATTATAAAAATTAATAATTTCATCTCTCTCGTAAAAGCTGCGAGCATAATACGAACGTAATCGCCAGGCTCGGCTGTAATAATTTCAATTTATTCCTTCTGCCTTATTTTCGCTCCTCTTTGTCTCGCGCTTATCACTGCGCGTTACTCTTTTCCCGCTGGGGATTTATCAACACCGTATGCAATAATTGAAACGAAGCACGTTTGTTATTGCATGCTCATTCCTTCCTTATAAGCATAATTCCAGCCGCCAACAATAATGGAGGAAAAAATGCATGTCATATAAAATACGCCGCCCCTCGTATGGAAATGGTATGTAATTATGGTAAGGCCACGCGGCGGCAGTGGCTTTGATTTATATACCTGATAAATCGCCACTGGTACCTTAAACCAGCCGGTAAGTGAAGTTGGAAAAATACTTTATTAAAGCCTCTCAGCCACTGTCACTCTCTCACCAGGCATGTTTTGCAAGAAGAAAATCCAATTTGGAAAAAAATCAAATATTCGGCAAGAAAATTGTAAACATCAGTTAATCATATGATTCTCCAGACAATTTTTAAAATTACATTGTTCTTAATCCCGTTTTCATAGGGCAAACGCGAGCTTTTTTTTCTACCAGAGCATCTATAAGAATTAGCCCTTATAACCAGAATGAGATATTATTTGCAGTGTTTTCAGAGAGAAAATTGTAAAAATAGTGGGAAAAAGTATGTACACTAAAATACAGTATAACAAACACATCTACGCAGGCTCATAGATATTTATTATGTATCCTAATTACTATGATGTCTAATTAAAATGTCTATATTAATATTAAAAGAGCGCATTCAGTGTTCTATATAAATGGTGATGGCCCACTTCAAACACATTCCTTGCGAGAAGATTCGAAACTAAAAATGTATGTAACCGGCTTGGCACTTTTTTTCATTTTATAAAAATGTTTACTTCACTACAGCGGACTGTAAATTATCGCGTGCGATTTCATTTCGGGATAGTGTCAGCAAAATGTCACATTTGGGAAAATGTCTTTTTTTATTTTTATCAATTCAAAATGATCTGAATTAAAAATAGAGCGTCGAGAACAAGTTTTTGTTTTTGCTGCCAAAGTGCAGCGCAAGCAAGCGGTACCTGGAGACGAATTAGGCCAATTAAATTATCTCACGAGCCAGTTGATTACAAATAATAACGTTACACGCGATTTACTGCAAGTAATGGCGTCGTAAAAGTGCAGTTCCGCGCTGCACTCGGCGGGCCTGGCACAAGAAGAGCTAGTCTTTCCGTCCTCTCTTTTGCCTCCACTTGAGCTTTGTACATAAGCACCGACACAGCAATTGTAGCTCTTCATGTTTTTATACATGTTTTTTTTTTTACAAACATGGGCTGCAGATCAATGAAAGGGAGTTGCTGATTGAAACGGGGATGTAAATGTTGTTTGTCCAAGTAGTTTTTACTTTTCTTTGTTAAGTTATGGCTGACAATGGGAGAAAATGAAAACTTAAATATAAATTTTAATCTATTATATTCAGAAAATTGACAGAAAAATTCTGAGAATTTTTTTAATTAATGTAGAAAAAAGTGAAGTAGAACAATTATTCTGAAATTGTGTGTTAATTGAATTGTGTATTATTAGAAAAATTTTGAGTCTAGTTACTATTTTAAAAAGTAAATAACTGATTTTTTGTTATGATTTATGATTGATACTCAAGATTAGATAAATACAATCGTAAATAAATTTCATTTTGAAATAAAAACCATGATTTTATGATTCCTTAAAAGTTGAGTTTCTACTTTCTAGCTCTTGGGAAGAAAAATCTAGAAAGACTAGAAATAAACTAGCATTTCACTTTGTATTTTTTCATTCATTTACTCTTCTCTCCACTTATTGATTGCAGAAAACACGAAACAATTTGCAATGCCTTCTTGTAGAAACAATGCAAGACGTAAAAAGGATTTCCTCCGTTTATTTCAGCCCATTTTCTTTTATGAAAATTGAAATTGCTAGTGCATGTCTGCATTCGGGATGTTCTCTTTTCAATTGCATTTCACTCAAGAAATGATATGGCGGATTAAAATTATGATAAAATACCCAGTGCTCTTTCTCTCTCGTGTACGTCCTTTCAATAAGTGCATTTCAGCACAAAAACCTTCGGAAAAGAGAGAGATTGGCTGCATGTAGTAACAAAAACGGCCATAAGCTCCATAACGGGGTCCAATCTTCTCTCTGGCTGCAAAAAAGTGGGTCATCTTTCATTCACTGCTTCTCGAAAAGTTTTTGTGTCGGAATCAGTACGGCGATCAATTCATCTTCCGAGCTTTCGCGACTGCATTCTTTCTCTCACCCATAAAGTGCAGAAAAATCTGCATTTTATTTTATTCCGTTGGCTGGAAGTCATGAAAAAATCATTGCAGTGATTTACGACCCACCGAAATCGGGCACTACATTTACATTGGAGCACGCGAATGAAAATAAAGAAAGAAAGGAACACACCTCATCTGCACACACCGTATTAAGAATTTTACTGCCGGTCACCGATGGATATTGAAGCGAAAAGTGCTTCAAGTCGAGCCGTGGGGCCACTTTTTTATGATCCCACCTGACAGATAATGGAACGACGGAGGTGCCGACAAACCGACAATAAAACCCGCCTTATTAAAATTGATTTCAAACACCTGATATCTCGGTTAGTGCATTTTAGTCGTTTTTTTTTATCAAATTTTGGTCGAATTAAATTTTACTAAAATTTTTAAAGACAAACCATAATATGCGCTTAATAATATTTTATTTAAACAGGACCTTATTGGGCAAAATCAGCCGATTTTATCACCAAAATAATGCCCTTAAAGGTGATGCTAAATAACAATTTTCTTAAGCACTCTGAATTGCTCCTTACCGACGATTATGGAGAAAAATTATATTACAAAAATCTAAAGCAGACTTTCATGGAAGTATATTTTTATGGTCCATAAAACATAATTTTTGCCGGTAAAATGTAAAAATATTATTCATCCAGTCTATGTTTTAGTTTATCTAGTAGGAAATCAAATAAATAAATTCATTTTCATCTGCTTGAAATGGGTGCCAGTGGGCATAGAATCATAACTGATATGTGCAGAAATTGCATTTTTTAACGTAGAGAAAATTTGATAGCCTACAATACACTAGCCTACTGACGTCCACAAGAAAAGACAGACGTTTTTATTTTTGCGCCCCAAACACGTCGTCTCATTCTTATGCAATATTGAAATAATTTAGCAGGGCCGAGTTTATTACAAGGCGAACACCTGATACTTGTATAAAATACGAGTGGAGCATTATTTTTTCACGGCGTTTTTTGGAAAAGAAAGGACATGTTTGAGAGAGGATGTGTCACCAGAGTCCAATAACGGAGGCGCCCTCTTGCGTATGTATGAGAGGAGCTCTGTTAAAAAATGCATGCGACTTCTTCTTGTGCTTGAGATTTTGTTGTAGCGAATATAGACAGGACGTTACCATTTCCCGCGGATAATAATCATAACGGCTACAGCAGCTAAATTTTTATTCGCGTGTAAAAATCCTCCTCCTCTCGTGCAGCGATCGTGAAATTTAACGCGCTTTTTAAATATACACAAGCAACGGCGCCTAATAACAATGAATATGGAATTAAATGTGCCACTTTCATCGATGCTCTCGCAGCCCCTTCAGGGAGCGTTTCCAAGCACCTCTTCTCACCATCGCCGTCGCCGCCGCCGCGAGTTTAATGTAATATTTAAATGTT